ACTGCCACTTGTCTATTTTGAACATTACCGTAGTCTATATCGACAGCAGCTATGCACATCTGAACTCATCTGAACTCGTGCACCTGGGCACACTTTACTGGTGCAGTATAATAGCCATGACACTTGCTGCGTCAAAGAACAGCTGCCATGTCTGTTGTCAATAAAATATTATTGTATACACACTGGCAATTTAAAATTCATGTAAATTGCCAGTGTGGTGCAGTGTTTTGACAGTAACGATAAATGCGTGAATAAAGCGATGAAGCCAAATGCACGAAACCACCACGAAATAAGAAACAAATGAACATAAACGGGGAGCTAACATATTGCCAAGAATATCACAAAATAGACTCTCCTAGATGAAATAACGAGAATACAGTTTTGAAGCCACTTTTAACTGTAGAACAGCGGATGCACGAGTGGAAGGAGATGCTAGAAGGCATTAGGAGCAACACAAAACAAGATAGAAGAAACAGAAACCTATTTTAAATACCAATTTCTGCTCGTTTTATAGTATTTGCGCTGTCAATGAAACTGGACTCCGAAACATTTCTCTCACAAAGAAATAGTGATTTTTTTTATATTTTCTTCGTTTTAACATTTTTGGAGAATTTGCGATCTAAGCAGTCAAGTGATTTAATACCTGAACACAAAAAAGTAAACAATGGGAGATCATGTGTCGGTCTGGATTCTAGGGAAAGTAGAAGATAAGAAGGAGACACTAGAAAGCATGAGGAGCAACACAAAAAGTAAACAATAGAGCGGGCATGTGTCGGTCTGGTTTCTAGGAGAAGCTTGCGTTTGGTGCAAACAATCGTGCAAACATCAGAGTTTTTTATTCTCAGTAAACCATGCACAGGTCGGGGCACGGGCTAGGAGGTCTTCTTTAGGATACGAATTCGTGTTCACTAGACGAAGAAAACTTTAATGCTTGAAGAAACTCGGATCTTCGATGAATTGAAATTTGATCCCGTGAATGAAAAATATTTCTAATCAACTATTTCATTACAAAATAGGTCATTTCGTACAAAAATAAGTTATTTTTAATCCTGGTGGAGGCCTTAATCAGCAAGTGTCAATGTTTTATTTCCATAGCAGTGGTAAGACTTATGAAAAACTGGTCTCTCTTTTGATCTAGTCTCTTTTAGTCTTTAGACTCTCTTTTGATACACGTTGTAGCAGCTACGAGTTATGAACGCGAGTACGAAGTAGCAGCTGTATAATCGTGCACGAAGATGCAGCCGTGAAGCAGTTATATAAATGCGTGCACGAAGCAGCAGGTCAACAGATGCAGCAGCAGGACGGAAGAGTATTATTAAGGAATGATGCGCAGTTCTGCCACGAAGGGATGCAGAATAAAATTGCATGAATTTCGACTAAAAAATATAACATTATAACTCGCTAGATTCTTATGAGTTCCACACTGATGTGTTCATACCTTATATACACGCTCGTTCAACTGTATGACCCTCAAAGAAGGGCTAGGTCAGGCTAGTTAAGGACTAACAAACTGCAGGATATAAGTCGAGGAAATTTGTAGAGACGCGGCACGCGAATAAAGCGTAAATAATATAGGCGAATAATAAATACCTGAAGTAATATTCGCATACCGAAAATAATTTGAGTCGGAGTTAAGCTAGACTGGTTGAGAAAAGTCGAGTATTTTAATGCAGGATTTGGACACAAATTCGAAGAACATTTCACGGAACGAGTTTGTCGGAAAACCGAAGCCTAGTTTACAGTAGTCGGTACTGAATGTGCCTGTCTAGAACTAAACAAAGTTGATAACGAGTGCTCTCTGAAAATATTTATACGGTCTAGTAAGTTAGGAGAATTTTAAAACTTTGAGAGCAACTAAGTTCGGTTGAGCGACGGAGAGCAACCAAGTTCGGTTGAGTGACAACCATGCAAGTTCATTTCAGTAAAGAAGGATAACGAAGTTAGATTGAGTAAGACTCATCCTCAACCACTTGCACCTTCTCAACAAAGGAAAAATTGTTAATATCTCCACGGTTACAAGCTGTAGTAGGAACAGAGCATTGCTCAGTTATTCAAGGTTTGTGTTCTACTGGCTTCTGACCCCCAGTATACCGAAAACTTTCACAAAACAACGAATGGATATTGAAGGCGGATATACCGCCTTCGATGTATAATTAAAAATCGCGTTACGCACACTTGCACGTGGCTGACACGAGTCGCGTTACGCACACTTGCACGTGGCTGATGCTGCTGACACCCGAATGGGGTGGGGTTAATTGTTCAGATGCGTGCGCTCTTTTAGGTTCTTCCCGTTTCTCATGAGGAAACCCAGCCTGCAGATTCACATTGTTATTTCATTCACACATTTCTATGGAGATTGTTTCTCGATGCTCCGCGTAATTAAATTAAAAGATTGAAATATTTTTATGCTTGAGAAGATTTGCGATGTGGCTTGAGCTACACAGATCCTTATCATCCAAATATATAATTAAATAAATAGGCATTAATATAAACATGAATAAATGTTGAAAAATATTACTATAAATTTCTTGTTGAACCTCTTCTGCGATTAGCACATAAATGTATCTGCAAAAATGAAAATTAGTGCGTTTGCGGCATCCATGTGTGGCAAATATCGAATGGTTTGTCAAACCTACCAATGTTAATAACCATTGAAGAATAGACCACGATGATGTCAATGGTAATGACCATCGAAGAATAGAAAGTCGGTAGCAGAACACTGAATGGTTGAAGCGGAAGCGACGCACGAATTTATTCTTGATAAGGCAAGGCAAACGAATAAATTGCGAAAAATCACATAAGCTAAGGTACCTTTTCAGGATTTCCAACACTACACAAATTTCCACACAAACGATCTCGTGACGGTGTTACCGATTCTTCGTGATTGCGAGCGGAAAACAAGCAATCCAGGTCATAATTTGAATACATATAACTAATCGAACTAAAAATGGAAGAAATTTACTGATTTGAATCGACAAATTTGCATGCAGAACCATTTTATTCAGCATAAATGTGATGCCTAGAATAAATATCCAAGTGATAAGGCAGTAATCTAGGACATGATTCATATACAAATGAAGTCGTCGAGGCAAATACGGCACAAGTTGACAGAATTAGATGCATTGCAGACGGTATTTCCATTGAGATCTGCATCGGAGTTTGCGAGGCATTAAGGAAGACGGCTGTCACGCATTAATTATTCCTGTATTGATACCAGGTGCTGATGCATGCTAATTTCAACGCTAATACGAGGGCGAACATTACAATGCAGTAATTACTTTAGCTCCATTAAACGTAACGATCTTAAAAGACGTCGTTCATTTTTACAACTCATTTGAGAAGTGGGCGAAATAATTGCAAAGTTTGTGAGATATTAATGGGAATTAATGCCTGGAAAAGCAGATATGAATATGAGCAGATATGATGCAATGAAATGAATAATAAAGATTTTTATAACAGTTCTTTAGGAACGAAATCTGGTTACTGACTGAAACACGCCGCGTTGGAACCACATTGTTTTTTTTAGCTCTAACTTCGATACAAAATTTGCATACGAGTATTATCTTTTCTTTGGAAAATGACTTCACTCGGAATCACTCCATATACAACTCATTCAATTCAAAAATTCATTCCATGTATAACTAAAAGTATAAATTGAGAAGAAAGGAACGAGTGAAAGGAATCAATAAAACATCGCCGTACTGCGTTCAACAAGAAAGGTGCACTGAGAAGTTAGAAAATTAGCACAGCAGGCCGACATCGTTGTTCTCTCATGCATCGCCGCCATGTATTTATTATTCAGGTTAATGCTTAATGCAGGGGCAGGTCAAACACGCACAACACCGGCAACTCAATACAACACACGCGTGATATTTTCCAGGTGTCATCTGAAGCTTGTCAGTTGCATAGATTTTGCATGACTGTTTTTATTTTATTTAAAAAAAAAACAAATAATCAAAAAGCATTAATTCTACGAAATGAAATGTGGAGTTTTGTGACGTTTGAAATGTCAACACAAACCAGCGCCAATTTTCACCTCGCCATTTCGTCTAATTAAAATGCATTAAAAGTCAAGATACAGCAAAGAGCGTCAACTTATTTGAGAAGCTAATTAAAAACTATTCAAGTCATTTTCTGCTCACGAGAGACAAACATATTGCCTTTCAATATAATTTAAAATAACTTCATTGAACCAATACCAGCAATTAAAAAGATAATAATCAAATCAGAAAATTTCTATATGAATCTCGGGAAAAACTGTACATTTGATACCTACAGAAGAGCGATGAACTCTGACATAATATTTATCCTTCTGAGAATTAGGAATGCATCAATACAACAAACAACTCTTAGAGATGACTAGTAGTTGCTCAAGTGACAACTAGTAGGCCAGTGGTTGCTCAAGTGACAACCAGTGGGACAGTGGTTGCTCAAGTGACAAGTCACAAATATCGTCATGCCTTCAGACAAACCACTTGCCGATCCTTGCTAGACAGCCACATGACACGCCCCATGACAAGTCACATGACACGCCACTTCGAACACGCCACATCATTGTCAATAATAAACAACTGCAAGGGTTCTGTGCTTGGGGATTGGCGCCTAGGTCACTTGCTATTCTTACGATGCAAGTAAGAATAGCGCGTTGAAGCTAAGACAGGCGCTTCAACTGATTTATATTCTGGTATTAACCCTTAAACATCCAGATAATGAATGGGTCATATATTGTCATTGTAGAGACAGGCTTTCTTACCCACAACACTAACAGTGAACAGACGTAGTACTGATACGCCCTTGGTCAGGACCAAACCGAGTCAGGATACCCATACAAAGGCAAAAATTGCATCGCTATTAGGCCAAAATCACGCGTATTTCTCTGAATGAAGGCTTCAACTAACACATATAGGTATACAGGGACCTACCCTTTATCATCTCACAGATAAGATTCATACACACGCAAGACTTAGTTAACCCTGCAACATGTCACAACATTTACTAACCCAAGTAACGAGTCGGTCATCTGTCTTGCCAGCACGCTGCCTCCAGAGCGGCACGCAGCGCGCGTCGTTGCTGATGAAGACCACGTGGCAGCGCGACAGTTCCCCAGGCCGATGTCTTCTCACGCTGTCGCACAGCTGCCATACGTTCTCTTCGCTGTCCGGTGAAATAGTAAAACTGCTTAATTTAATTTTCATTTAAAGCTTTTAACTAAAAGAATTGGAATGGGCAAAGAAACATACGACCTACGCAGAGATGAAAAAAATAACAGTTGTGTATTAAGGTAACTTCAACATGTATGTTGACACTGAATAATAATAATCATTCCGCCCACTGTGCCATGATAATAATAATAATAATTGATGATGTATAATTATTACAAATAACATTTAAACATGTATAGCAATGGTTTCATGGTGTAGGCAAACAGATGTTATGGTTAGGATACTAATTAATGCTTTATCCAACTCCAGACTCTTTTAACGTCACGTTTTAAGTTTTACACAAATAAACAAATATTTAGCTCAAAATATATTGTAAATAAAGTACTGATATAAAAATGGGAGATCCCCCAGAGTAATGTTGTTAAGGTAATGTTCGTACTGAAAAAACGACTGTTTAAGGCGTGAGAACAATCTCTTCCGTATGTCCATTAAAGGAAATATATTTGGTTTATTGATGAATACACTGGGAGTGAAGTCACCAATGGTACTGCGTGTATTGACAATCCTCTGCAGGGGGGTAGTACACTCACCAATAGTACTGGGTGTACAGACAATCCTCTGCAGGGGGTAGTACACTCACCAATAGTACTGCGTGTACAGACAATCCTCAGCAGGAGGTAGCACGCTGGCCACCCCTGATCTGTTTGCTTGTATAAGTGAGGTGCCAGGGAGCTTCTTTGTAGGGCTGTCAGTCGCAGAGTTGCGTTGGTGGGTTGCTTGGCTTGCCATCCTTGCCAAGCTTATTTAAATTATTTACTGGGCTACAACGCTAAACAATCACTACAACAACCAACTCTTGACCATCAACCAGGTGAAATTATGCTAACCATGCAAAAAGTAGCCACCAACCAAGAAACAAATGGAATTCAACCTAACAAAACTTGTTGAAACTAAGCCAAAACAAAGGCTATGCTCTTATTATACTTCTACAGCCCTTCAGATTATCTCTACCAATAATCTTTACAGAAGACAACTAATGCTAAGAAAACAGAAGACACCTCTATGGCTTAAGCCAAATTTCTGCATAGCAAAAAACTGATATTTTTAAATTAACAACGAGGAATGAATAACAAGAGAGATTCAATCGCAATACCAAACTCTGAGTCAACTCTAAGCAGTCATTATTGCACTACCTTGAAGTGTGCTCTCAACTACATCACAGATTAGGATTTGGCACATGAAGTGTCATGCCTTAGCAAACTTGCTTTAAATGGTTTGATTTCAATTTGAAATGCGGGACCATGCGGTCTACTTAGTTTTCTGTTTAAATTATAGTTTTGATAATAATTATATTCTTTTGGTTGTGCTTGAGGCTTACAGCAGAGAATTATTATATTTCCACTCTTCACCTATCATATGAGACTCGACAATATATAAGGAGTGAGCAATATGTTGTTGTTACGCCTTAATAATATTAATATTGAGTGTTTTAAATACAGCAAGATATGAATATCAAGATAATGTTGACATCAATAACACTTTCAATAAGCAATTGGGTCACATCAAGCATACAACACAAGAGAACCATCGAGACCTTGAAAAATTCACATCCAACTACAATGCCAGCTTTCCCTTATAAAACTTCACTAATCCATACAAAAACTTATGCTATTATACACCAAATATCAACATAGAATCAAGTGAGCAATCAAACTCAATAGAAAACAACTTTACGACAGAATGAAAATTATCTTGATGATCTGGTGACTTGAAGCTAATGAAGAAATAGGACTCGTCAAGGGACGGATGAGGATATGAACAAGTGGCACAGTCAGCTCAGTGAGCATTAGCAACAAATTCCATCACAACAGAACATAAACTACAACAAGTCTAAATAAAGGACAATTGATGGATAAAATAGATACCTAATATACTAAATAGGCCTCTTGGAATACCACTTACAATAGGAAATACTTGACCAAAGACACCAAGGCAATAAAGGTTACAAATATCCTTGCAAAGGAGTGAAGTAAATGCTGGTTTAATCAGTAATATATAATTTCCTTCAGATATGGAGGCATTCAGCAACACTGAAGAATAGGATTCAAAGGGATTTATTGATCACTAGACCAAAGACAACTAATGATTGCAGGAATAATGACTTCAATAGTTCAACTACAGTATATAATATACCTTCAATTAACAACATCAAGACAACAATTGTGCATGGTAGTACATCACAGTATCAAAGATCAAGCTAACTATATATGGCGCTAATAATTTGAAATTCTAGTCATGGATCAAGTCTATAGTGAAATAAAACAATTTCAACTTTACTGAGAGAACCCAAGATGAAAATGCAGAAAATCCTAAATAGTTTATTTAGAAGAAAGTTTTTGATGTGATGCACAGCAAAGAGTCTGAAGATAAAGTCACTAAAACTGCTCCTTTTCTAGCTACAAGATGACTTGCTATCAAGTGTTTCTGGAAAATAAAAAATTATTTGACATAAATAAAAAATAAATAAGAAAAAGGTAATCAATCTGTGCCTGGAGCCAAAATTAGTCATGTACCTACCTATGAAATCTAATACAAGTATTGAAATTAATGTAACACAACCATACATTTATGGTTGTGCTACAACCATTTTTAATGTAGCACAACCGTTCATCTACCAAAATGCATACATGTGACTACATAGTACCACCATATGTACCTACTAATTGCATATGTATATTGGGTAAAGAGTATCCATGTACTGTCAACCGGGGCTACTCAGGACGATTTCAAACATTTTTCATTCATAACTTCTTACCATGAAACATTAAACATTTCATAAACACGTTTAGGCTCATTTCAAAGCTCTTTGCAAGGACTATCACATGGCTTCTCCAAAAAAATTCTATATGCTATTCGTAAGGTTCCAGAAGCAAAAAAACAGTGTCCCGAGTAGCCCCGTCAAACGGGGCTACTTGGGACACTTTGAATAAAACATCATTTTAAAACATTTGAAGCATGCAGAGTGTACCGTCAAACAGGGTAAAAAGGGACGGTTTTGAGCGTTTTTTTGTTAATAACTTCTTACCATGAAACATTTCAGAAACAAGTTTAGGCTCATTTTATAGCTCTTTGCGAGGGCTATCGAATGGCATCTTAAAAAAAATTCCATTTGCTATTTGTAAGGTGCTAGACGCAATATAAAAGGCTCCTGAATTAATCTTGAAATGGGGTAAAAAATGACACTTGAAATAAAACTCAATTTCAAACATTTGAAGCATGCAGAGTGTACTCGTCTATTACTAACAGTACTCTGAAGTCCTCCTCTTTCATTGTAGATGATGTAGATGTAAAATAAATGACATTTTCTGTGATTTTTACTTGTTTTTCCTTTATTGATATGATATTACCATATTCATTAATTACTGTATTATTAATGTGATATTACTGTATCCATGGACCTGCCATTGAGCATTGACAACGACCTTGTCCACTGCAAGCTTCATATCAGCAGCCATGTAGCATTTCTTCTGTATCTGTAAGCTTACAGGATGGTTTGTAATTTCACACAATTTTCAATCAAGGATAGTGATTTCACTATAACAAAAGAGATCATGAAAAACATACCTGAAACAGAAAATAATGTTTTAGTGACAACCATCATATGTTTTGAAGAAATAAATCATAGTTTAGGTCAATTACTTTTCATTCCATGATGCCCAGTGCACAACCGGGGCTACTCAGGACAAGCGGGGCTACTCGGGACAAGCGGGGCTACTCGGGACAGGCCTCCGACACAGCGTAAAACTGTTGTAGTAGCGAAACTAATTGGAATATTGCAAAACTAAAAATAGTGGCGTAAACTTCAACATTTTTCCCATCTATGTAGTATAAAGGAAGTCAAAAAATACTACATTTACTTGCTTTGAAAAATTCCTGAAAAAAATGGTGAAAAACTATATTTTGTAAAGTTACAACTGCTAAGGTATGTAGCAAAAAAAATATTTGCCGTATTAAAAAATTTTACTCACTTAAAAGTTGCACCCAGGTGTCGGCTTGAAAACGCAATTGACAGAATTTGCCGATCTCATTCCAAAAAGAAATGGCAGCCATTTCCGCATGGCGGGGCTACTCGGGACACCCCCCTGGGGCTATTCGGGACACCCCCAAAAACGCAGTTGCGGTAGAACCTCAGTTAGCAAAGGCTCCAATTATGAAAAAATTTGATTAAAAACAAAGAATATTGATCACATTTTCCTTGCTCAGCAAAAAAAATTTCACTTATCAAAAAATTAGTGCATCATCAGTCATCACAAAATTGTGCATAGCATGTCATGTATAGAATTGTGCACCAGGCATCATAGAATGAAAAGTAATTGACCTAAACTATGATTTATTTCTTCAAAAGATATGTTGGTTGTCACTGAAACATTCCTTTCTGTTTCAGGTATGTTTTTCACAATCTTTTTTACCATAGTAAATTCACTTAACCCAATTAAAATGATGTGAAATTACGAGCCGTCCTGTAATCTTACAGATACGAAAAAAATGCTATAAGGCTGCTGATATGAAGCTTGCAGTGGACAAGGTTGTTGTAAATGCTCAATAGCATGTTCATGGATACGGTAATATTGCATCAATAATATGATAATTGCACATCAATAATACGGTAATTAATGTATATGGCAATATCATATCAATAAAGGATAAACACTGTCTCTTATACACATCTAGATGTGTATAAGAGACAGATCTAGNAACACTACTTAGCTACGCATAGCCTATTCACTTGTTGAGTGAGTAGTAACTGTAAATATATCGCATTACTTTATATTTTACAAGATTTACAGCCTACAGGTTATAAGTACTGCACAAGTAAAACGATAATGTAATTTGAAATAAATATAAAATCGCTCAAACAGAAGAAATTTTAGATAGAGAGACATCTGTCTCTTATACACATCTAGATGTGTATAAGAGACAGGGCTGTGATCCTGTCTTACCCCATTTGACTATAATTAATAATATGGTAATATCATATCAATAAAGGAAAAACAAGTAAAAATCACAGAAAATGTCATTTATTTTACATCTACATAATCTACAATGAAAGAGGAGGACTTCAGAGTACTGTTAGTAATAGACGAGTACACTCTGCATGCTTCAAATGTTTGAAATTGAGTTTTATTTCAAGTGTCCCTTTTACCCCATAACCCATTTCAAGATTAATTCAGGAGCCTTTTATATTGCGTCTAGTGCCTCACAAATAGCATATGGAATTTTTTTGAAGATGCTATTTGATAGCCCTCGCAAAGAGCTATAAAATGAGCCTAAACTTGTATCTAAAATGTTTCAGGGTAAGAAGTTATTAACAAAAAACGCCTAAAACCGTCCCTTTTTATTCCATTTGACAGTACATATGACCCTGATGGAACTCTATGAAAGCAAGGTTCCTTTAGTTCTGCCAGAAGCATTATTATTATTATGCACTCCAACTGCCCACCTGCCAAAAAATCAACCAGGTTAATTTTAATAACAATGAGAATGCTCGCAATTAATAACAATTCTAACCTTCAGCTAAAGTTAATATAGAACAGGCTCTGAATTTCAAGCGTTCAAATTTCCTGCAACCCAAAAATACAATTAAAAAAGAATTATGTACAGTTGCCTTGAACAATATTTAATCTTGCACTTTTCTCAACAATTTGATAGATGATAATTCATCTAGTCATAATCTCCCAGCTTCAGAAATGGCACCAAAGTTTGAGTCATGGCATGAAAATAGATATATTCTATGCAATGCTTGGTTGTAGCCTTATCTAGAAATGTCTAGGTAAGATCTTCTGAAGATCTATATTTTGAAGCTAAGTGCATATTTTCAGGTCAAGCAAAATATTTTTAATATATATTGAATACATGAAGTTGTGAAATATACCGTTACTCTAAGAATTCCATCTAGTGACCTGTCACCTGCGTTCCTGCACCCTGCCTATTGACATTGTTGCTATTCATGCTATTGCCCTAACCTGGCAGTGGCTAGCCTTAGCCAGTTAGCCATGCTAATGCCCTTACCTAAATGACCTAATTGCTATCATCATTATTACATCATAGATCATATTCATACCATGAAAATAAAGCTAATAAGATTTTGTTCCTCTTCATTAAAAAATTGAGTGAAATATTCATATTCATGATATTGGTTGTGGCTTTCAAAGATAACTCTGAATAAATTTGAATAATATTTCATACTGAGTCTAATACTATTTGCAAAATATAAATTGTATATTGCAATAGCCAGCCTATTAGGTTCATTTTATTTGCAGCTTAGGCCTATACCAATTAAATTTTTAGCATTTTGCAGCTCCATCTATTCTAAGTACCGTAAAATGGGGTAACTTAGACCGGCGGGGTAACTTAGACCACTTTTTGTTTTTTTAACAAAAACCCCCACAACTCAAAAACTATTTGACATAGAAAAATTTTGTCAATGGGCATTAAAGTTAATTGATTTTACCACCCGGTCTAAGTTACCCCAAGAGCTGGGGTAACAAAGACCACCACTTTTTTTGAAATTACATAAAGACTATGAGAGGCAGGAGCCAGCAAATTATGGTGAGTGAAGCTAGAGTATAGACCTGTATTTTGCATGTTTCAATTCAAGTTTAATTTAGCTAGTAAAAAAATGGCATCATTTATGAAAATAAAAGTGGTCTAAGTAATAAGTTACCCCATTTTACGGTACTTGTTCTAACACTAACAGTAATATTGATGTTGGTTTAACAATACTAGAAGTAGAAACTAGACACCTGAGACAGTGAGACAGAGGCTGTGACATTACATACAGACTGATACAGTACAGTCAGACAGAGACAGTGGCTAAAAAGAATTTTGTCCATTATGTATCTGAAAAAGTATTCATGGCAAATTGGCAATGATGGCATGGTAAGATATTTCTCGACAAATTTAAGGACTTTATTCAAAACGGGTTTGGTACTCGCAAGTGACGCAACTTTGCGATAAAAGACGATTACAAAAAAGTTGCTCATCAGCCCGATTAGCCTCTAGGTGATTAATTATAGTAATATACTAATAGTGACTCAACACCGACAACACGGACAACACTACTTAGCTACGCATAGCCTATTCACTTGTTGAGTGAGTAGTAACTGTAAATATATCGCATTACTTTATATTTTACAAGATTTACAGCCTACAGGTTATAAGTACTGCACAAGTAAAACGATAATGTAATTTGAAATAAATATAAAATCGCTCAAACAGAAGAAATTTTAGATAGAGAGACATGGGTGCACAAAAACAATGGCGAAACCTTTAGCGCGCACACACAACCATTCACTGGCAGAGCTTCTTATCGACTAACGGTTCCAAGGAGGCAAGGCTCCAAGCCTACATCTTCCAACCTCACCATGTGTCCATGTGTCTGCATAGCGTTGGTGCATGGCAACTAACAGCACTTGCATAAAGGCGACGAAACACTATCCTCTGGCGAGTAGTACACAGAACAATTTAG